GGTGACCTTATGAAAAGGCCATATAAACAGATGTTTACAGCAGAGGAGCTTCCGGGAAAGTCTGTAAGAACACTAAGCATGGTTCGAAGACAAACTTTTGCTTGAGTCAAAAACCTTGTTAAAAACAGATGTTTGAGACTAAACCCTATGATGGGTACGAGCATCACAGGAGAAGCCATAGATCACTGTCAATTTTACCTTCCGTTTTCTTCTATTTCTGTGTGGAAAAAGCTCAATACTTTGTCTATTAATCTTATTTCTCAACAAACAAACACAAGCCGTGCATACATTTGCATTATTTCCTGCTCTGATTTATTTGAATAATGTGCTTATTCTCTCTTTTGAATAATAATACGTTCTTGGCTTTGTGTGCAAGTTCCTCAAGTACCTCTCCCCTTACATAACACTTCTATGTTTAGATTAACTTTTGTCCAAGGGAGATTTTTCACAACATTATAGGGCATTGCTGTATAATCCCGAGGTCTGAAGAGAAGCAATGATGCTTTTGGGCAATGAGGAATACATTATCATTATTTAGTCACACTGCTCTTACAGCTCTCTGAAACATTGAAATTACTGCAGAGACAAGTATGGAGTTTACAGTGCCATTATCTGCATAGCACTACATAGTGTAATGTAACAACATTATGTTTCCAACTGTATTGCCTTGGTTTGGAGTGAGGTTCTGATTTTATCACATTTACTATTATCTAACAATGTTCCACAGATACTTACAATGTTACAGACAGAAATTTTTTCGCACCTATTTCTCACTATAGTGAGGCATATGCTACATGGTAACATGAAGAATGCAAAATATTTCTGTTATTTTAGAAATGGTTTGTAACTGGAGTAAATGAGTCTTACATGTGGTCACAGTTTTTACCAAATTGCTATACTTAGTTTTGTCAGTAGTGTGAATAAGAGAAATTGGGCTTTGTTACTGCAAAGAGATTTATAGTGAAAACATCTAAGTCATGAATGAACACATGACATGCATTTTACCTAAAACATATGGACTGTGCGTAATTTTAACAATGCTGTACTGTATACTAGAGTCCCATGAATTCACCACCACTAAGCATTATTTAATTTCTGAACATAATTATTATTTTTCCATTGCCTGTCCTGAATTCATGATGGAGGTTGTCTACCCTAGGACAAGCATTGTAATACATCTTCATAATATTGAAAATAATCTGTTAATGAATGGTTTATTCCTGGGACCTTAATAAATAAGTGTTGTAGTAGTTCATGGAGGCAGTCCAATCCTGCCATGTTCTTTGAGCAACATGGGTACCTCTTCTGGGTCTGTCTTGCAAAATAACTCTAAAATACTCTTTGATGGAAAATGGGCTCAGCTAATGCAGCTAAGTGTGCCCTCACTGTGTTGCAGACTCATAAATATAGGGAGCATTTATCTTTTTTTCTGCCAGTGTATTTTAATATGAACCTTTAATGTGTCACACTTTTTCAAGCATGATAAAAGTCACAAAATGTGTAGTGTCTTTCATCACCTTGACAAAGCAGTGACGTTAAATCTGACAAAATTACTAAAAGCTTGATACAGCCCTCATTTGGACTTACATAGTGAATACACGTGCTGTGTGCTGACAGTATTTTTAGTCCTTTTCCATGACTTGAGACGAGATGTGATGCTTTAGAATCTCAGCAGCATGTGAGACTGCCTTTAGTGGTAATGTGCGTTTGTGTAAGTGAATACAAAACTGTGGTTGGCCAGCTTGGATAAACGTGTTCAGGAAATGCTCTGGTGAGTTACAGTACCTGCAGTCAGATCTGTGCGTGACTGCTCACCTAAGTCAGGGCACCTGTCCTTGTGCATGCAGACACACATACGCACACACATACACAGCGCAGTTTAAAGTAGTAGATGGCACCTTGCAACAAAGCCTTCAAAGCACCACGCTACATTTGGGTAGTGATGTAATTCCCAGCATATACATATGTAGATATCTGGGCCTTAAAATGGTTCCCAGGGGTCTTAACCACAGAAATATCATTGGTGTGTATCCCAGCACACACAAACACACTAGACACGGTTACTGAAAAAAGAGTGGGAGTAGATTTTTTCTGTAAAACAGAAGGTATTTACACTTTACAAAAAAGCTCCAAACATTTCCAGTGTGAGGTGCAATGATCACTGCGCTCAACTGAGACATTTTCTCAGCTACATGTTTTTCAGCCAAATCGCATTTTTCCCAGCGTGAAACACTGAAAAAACCTTACAAAAAGTCTCCTGTAAAGATCTTCAAACACATTTTGTTGCTTTTGCTCGGGTCCTTAAAATGAATAGAATGCAGATTGACTCAGGCAAACTGGTAATATGAAATTTTTCGGCCCTTTTGGCATCTGTGTCTTATCATAGCCAAAGTCAATGCCTTGGTTTAGAATTTTATTGCAAAAGTCAACCTGGACATATTACGTTATAGAGGAAGGTCACAGTATAGGAAAGTATCATTCTTACTTTTTTAAACCAGTTTGAATGTATTTCCTTTTAATATGAATATTACTTACCACAGAACCATGGGAAATGACCATGGTTCTGTGATAAGTAATATTCACGTTAAAAGGGGCAATTGAACATGTGGATTGTTGCTTGTAGTCCTCACTTTTTACGTAGTTCTCCCAAACCAATTATTTTCAGGAGCATCTTAGTTGTACATCTTGTTGTATACTAACACCACATAAATGATAGCATCAAAGTAAATGTTTAACAACGTAATAAAGTCAGAGGATTCTTTTTCCTGGAGTGGCATATGTACATATGTGGACTATACAGTATGTACATATGACAGGATATTTAACTGCAGCACACCCACAGAAATGATGATCTAGAAGTCACAGCTAATGCACTACAATTATATTGTATAATACGGACTATACCGATCATTTTGTTTACTAACTATAAAAACTGTAAAAGCCAGATAGTGTGTGTTTTTGTTCTACGTAATATGTACAGTGCTGTAGTGTCAGCTTTGTTTTGGAGGTTTGCTTTGCTTTGTTTTATAAATCTGCTTGATTTATATATGTGTGTGTGTGTGTGTGTGTGTGTGTGTGTGTGTGTGTGTGTGTGTGTGTGTGTGTATATATATATATAAATTTTTTTCCACCATGAAAGAAATGTCACCCCATGGGTACACTAAGATGAGCCTTTCTTCAACTCCATGGCTTGGACGCTGTGCCACTTGTAGCCTTTCATTTTTTTTGGTTGTGCTTCTTCTGAGGCTGCTGAGGTAGATGGAGGGCTGATCCACTCTGGGGACTTGTTTTTCTCCTTGCAGCTGGCTGCGTGAGCCAGAACTCTGCCTCTGCACCCCTCTGTAGCTCCGCAGCCTTGGATATGGCAATGTAAAACACAGAGTCTTTTATTCATTCACTGGCGGATTGAGAACTGTGATCGTTTTTGTTTAATTTGTAAATATCTTCTTCATGCTTCCATCTGGGCAAAGATATTTCATTTTTCAGGAGACAGTACGGTTAGCATTCATTCCAGGTTCATTTAAACTGCAGGTCACTGAAAAGATGTCCTGATGAACAACAATGGCACAATGTCCGAAGTGGAGAATTTGATAGCTTACTATATTGATTGCAAACAATTTAGAGGGCCTTTGATTATGGGTTACGAAACTACATATAAAATGGTTTCATACCAGTATTAGTTGTGCTTCGATACAGCTATTTGGATTGCACTGTTGAATGGCTTTTGCATCTGTAAATATTCTGATTGAATGCCACAGTACATTTTCCTTCATCAAGTCACAATACCTTGACATCTTATTACCCTCACTGAAATGTTGTTTATTGTACACATTCTAAAATTTTCTAAAATCTTAACCTTGAGAGCTACAATACTATGCATTTGGAATGCTTTGTGCAGTTGGTTTTTGTTTGTGCTAAAACATGGCTTCAGTGCTAATGGTCTCTGTTTGAGGACAATATAGCACATGACAATATGACAGACTTTCCTTTGTGTGCCACAGTAAAAAAAAGGTTCTTTTTGAATGTGAAATGTTCATTACTTTTTGTTGGTTTACAATGCCAAGTCTTTAGTTGTTGGGGGTGAAGGTACTTTTCCTTCTCCATTGCCTTGCGTGACAAGGTTTTTCTGAGAGATTAATCAGAATGAATTAAATAGGGCCTGATCTTCCAGGTGCTGAACATCGATTTGATGTGTGAGGAGTCAAATTAATATTCTGCCCATTTTAACCCTGTTGAAACAGCAGAACAACCTGAACTCGAGATACACTAATAGGGATTATAATTGAGTATGACACCAAAGTTATTTGCCTTTGTTATCTGTAATCCCAATTCATTTTTTTGTTTATGTGGCATGGAACTATGTATGTTCAGTTGATTTTGAGACTGACACTGGAAATGACTGAATTTATAACTATGCAGTTCTTTATTTTTCCTGTAGGGGGCTTTAAACCCAACTTTCTTTACTCACTCAGCCTAGTTTATGTCCTATAATTTATGGATGCATATTTAGAGCACCCATCCATTTCAGTGCTAAGTATGACTACATGCAAGTGAGCAACCAATAAAATATAACTGGAAGATGACTAATTACAGGAGAAGTCAGCACTGCATTATAAGTCATGTGACTTCCATAACAATGAGAGATTGAGATGATGAAAGCCTGCAGACTTCAGTGACACATACTGTAATTCGATTAGGACCGAATTACAAAGAATTGCACCCTCAGGGCCATTCAGGTTCCACTGGATACTGTACAAATGTGATGGTTATGACAGTCTCTTCAGTCCTAATCATATTTTTGGGTATTCAAAATGAGATTTCCAGCAAATGAGCAACCCGATGCTAAGGCCCAAACCTGATCATCCTGATGCTTTTCTCTGTTTCCATGGAATTACAATTTATATGTTTAGCTTGGAAAATAATTGAAAAATCATTTTTAAAATCCATTATGCCGTCAGGTTAGCCATTATTGAACATTAGTAGGGTAAGGGTATCACAGCGGTTTCTGTAGTGTAGTGGTCATAACCTTTGCCTAATGCACAAAAGGTCCTTGGCTCAAAACTGAGCAACTGGGGCAGCAGTGTGGTGTAGTGGTAAGAAGCGGGGCTTGTAACTGAAAAGTTATTGGTTTGATTCTTCACTGGGGCACTGCTGCTGTACCCTTGGGCAAGGAACCTCAGTGTATAAACGGATAACATGTAAAACTTGTAACCTGTGTAAGTTACTATGCATAAGAGCATCTGCTAAATGACAATAAATTAATGTAATAATGATCTAGTATCACTGGGCTCTTCTGATAATTGAAGCCATAGAATTAATATTAGATTTGACTATCAGGTTTATTAGCAGCGTAGGGTAGAGGTTAGGGTGGCCAGGTCTGTTAGCACTGTAGGGGGAGGTTAGTGCGATCAGGCATATTAACAGTTTTAGCAGTGTAGGGGGGAGGTTTAGATGGCCATGTAATTTTAAATAGTGTAAAGGTCAGGGTCATTTTGGCAGTGTGGAGTGGATGGGGTGTCATGATGAGTGATAAACAGTCTGAAGGTGGTGGATAGCATAGGAATATTTTGAATGCGATATAATTTGTGATATTGGATAGCGTGTGTGTGTGTGTGTGTGTGTGTGTGTGTGTGTGTGTGTGTGTGTGTAAAATAGTGTGACATGTGTGTGCTCTGTATGGTTGTGTTTTAAGTGGTAATACCACCAATATCACCTCTATTGATAGGAGGAAACTGAGTTCAGTATGACTCAACTTAGCCAGATAATTCCCTGAAATCCTTTATGACATGTTAAAGCATGTTCTTTCATTGTGTCTCTGAAAATCCTTTCATTGTTATTTAATTTGTTTGCTTAAATATAGGCTTGTATTGCTTCTATAGCATACTATAGTATGCTCTAGCCAGTAAGAACAGTCCTGGTCTGGTTATCAGCAATGCTGGATCTTATCATTCATATTGTAGATACTGTTATATATAAATGTTTATGTTCACATATGTGCCGAACATCAAAGTACTTGGATTTGCATATGAATGACGCACTAACTAGATCAGCTGAAATTTGCTATTCAACTGCTTTTTTTCTTGGACTGAAGAATTTCAAACCAGTCAGTGGATCTCAGGAGAAAACTACATTCCCCTCTTCTTTTCAAATGTGAATATACTTTTCTCTCTTGAGTCTGCATTGCATTTTGGAATACTAAAATGGGAATTTAAAATAAGGACTGCAATGTGCTTTATAGTGGAGAATATGACAGTGACAGTTATTGAAGTCCGGTTGTGTTTTGAACTGAGGATATGTAATATCTGTGTCTTTATTTCAGCTCAACCTATGTTGATTCTCAAGTATGCTGATTTATGTCAAGGTAAAGGATGTCTCTATTAAAGTGGCAGTGCCCTATTCCCTGAGCAGCAATGTGGAGTCTTAGCTAGGTGCTTTAGACTTTAGAAAATTACCAAGTAACTTTTCATATTTTCTTGAACATTCTGAGGGAAATTCGGGATTCATAAATCTACCAGCATAAATAGTAGATTTATGTTAACAGGATGTTTGACTATCAGTGGAATGCTTCTTGAGACAGGATTGCATGAGCCACCCGATGGAACTGTGTATGTAAATTAGCCTTCATATTATTAGGCAAAGTGGCAGTGAAAGGAGAGCTTGCATCAGATTTTATATGCAGATTCAAAGCCAGGTTACAACCTGCTGGTCGTATAACCTTGAAGATTTTTTTGACATCCACATAACACCTTTAACATTCAGCATTGTGGCTTAAAGGATGCACATGTTGTATGGAAAACAATTATGTCCTTTGATTACTCTTAAATGCTGTTAGTCATCATGTCTAGACATGAATTGTTTTAGTTCATATTGCTGCTTCTGAAAGGTTTTTTGGTAATCCTGGTTCAATGTGTATCAGTAGCGCTGCTCTCACAGCTAGAGAACTCATGAAGGTCATGCATGATTGATGGATTATTATATTTCATATCAGACCAAACATACCCACTGCCATTACACTCGATTTCCTTATAAAGAGGAGTCAACCTCATCAGGAACATGTAAATCTTTTAAAAAACATGAATAACACATTTTGATTAAACAGTTCCCTTCAGGATTAATTAATTACAACAACGCTGCGAATAGTTGATTACAAGATCCTACTAATCCTATTAAAATTCATAATTAGCAGCATTTTTCCAGTCATCCTGAGGTAGAGAGTGAAAACATTCTTGAATGACCTGAAATAAATGCAGCATAGTAGTCCTTCTTGTTATCATACCTTGGCAACATTAGGCGCCTTACGAATGTACTGTGCATAGCCAGTGATTTCCATAATATTCTGCTTTTGTTGCAAAGATAACCTTCAAGTATCTGCTTGAATACTGCTGTGGAAATGTACACTCTGACGTCAAATGTCAAACAGTAAATTGATTTTCCTTTCTGCCATAATGATGATGCGGGGTGCGATTCCAGATCAAACAAAAATGGCAAATATCAAAGGACAAGCAAAGAAATCATCAGCGTCTAGATCAGGGTGTCTCAGTTCCGGTCTTGGAGGGCCACAGTCCAGTAGCTCTTCAAACCCACTTTGCACCACTAACACTCTCAGAGCCCAGAGTGGGGAGCTAAATTGGTTCAATCGATACAGTGATTAGCTGGATCAGGTGATTTTGTGCCTGACCAGAGGGACAGCCAACAGATACTCTGGCCCTCCAGCGCCAGGGTTAAGTAGCCCTGACTGAGCTCAGATTTATATAATATCATGAAATGATTCCCGACTCTTAAAGTTCGTGCAGTTAAATTCATTACTGTTACTCTCCTGGAATATGCAAATGAGTGTTGCGGCGTAATGGAGCCACCCCACAGCAATACTGTAGTCATTTCCTTTTATTCCTCACTCCGCAAGTAAAAAACACGGCCCTCTTCGCCTCACCTTGAGACAGAGAGGTGGAATGCAGTAGGCGCCTTCATTATGACATGCCTAAAGCTCCGCCCACCTCGTCTTCCTGTCAAGAGCAGTGCTGTGTGTCATTGTAATTATTAGGAGTGGATAGGGAGGGGGAAGGAGATCGGGTGTCCGATGGAGGGCGTGGCTTCATTGTAGAAATGTTATGCTTTGATAAGCCTTTACTCAGATCATGAGTAAAATTAGGAACATCCTGATTTGATGTAAACATGTGGAATGTTGTGAGATATTCTATGCTTCGATTGTGATGTGATTGTATTAAGGACTGCAGTGGAAAAGAAGTTACATTCCCATGCTGTCCTGAAGCATACCAGTGCTCCCCAGACTGTGGGTATGGCCCATAAACTTGACAATGGTTTTCAGCAGGCTTAAGAGACTGAGGTGCGGTTTTACCAGAATATTATGAATGTTTTTATTTATTTATTTCCTGGTCAGACCTTGTGTGCAGATGTACTTTTAAAAAACTTTTAAAAATCTCTGTTGAAAAGTACAGGTACAATTGCATTGACATCAAAGACAGTTTATTTTTAAGTAAGGTCCTCAGTGTTAATATTATTATATTAAGCTGTACTAATATTTACCTATACCGCCTGCACATTGGCTATTATACAGGCCTCCTCTACAGCCAAAGCCCAACACTCTATTCCACACCAAGGAATAGGAATGTATGCACCTCAGTCCACTTTGTATGGACCAGTGACATTGAAAAGCCTTGTCCATTTATGTTAAGGTATTCAGAACACTTGACCATGTTGAGCTCCTTAATGCCATGATACATTGTTCACTTTTTCTTCAATACACTCATCAGTCAAATACACACAAATATGTATGCTATTTAAATTAAGGCAAATATTAACAATTCTGTGAAATAAAAAGTGAAATATCTGCTTTTTAAATCAATAAAATTTTACTTAACTACTTTTCCCTCTCTTAACAAAGGCATTGTCACAGAACATTTCACAGAGTGCATTTATATTGACGTTGTGCAAAATTGGAACAGATACAGCTTTAAATGGAATGGAAGAACATCAATGACAAAGTGACAAAGAGCAAATCACACAAAGTGGTATCATTTAAAAATGAAGTGTAAATAGGTTTGACATGATTCCTTGTGATATTAATTTAAGATAATTTTAAAATAAAACGGATTCATATTTTTTTTCATAGTCTCTTACTCAGAGCAGTGGATGGTGTTGTCACTGTGTGGCATGGTTTATTTATTGCCTTTGTCAGGCGTTTGTTGGGCCTCAGTGTGAGTGTTGAGTATCCACAGAGGAAGAATTGCGCTGAGTCTTCAGCCTGATGGCTTTTGACAAGCCTACTGCCCCAGCCCCTGACAGATTGACAGAATCTTCCTTTAAAAATCTCTCTGTGTCTTGGCTCGCCTCTGATGTCGGACCCTGTAATGCGGCCTCTCCCCCCTTCCCCTCCCCCTCCCCCTCCCTTCCCCTCCTCCGGGCCACTCTGCCGATAGGCCACTGGAGCGCAGTGCTCCTGGAGCGCACTCTGGATGAGGAGCCAGCTGTATGGATCACTGTGTTTTTGTGCTGGGAACCAGAAAAGAAATCAGGTCATTGGATATTCTGAGCTGCAGGACATGATGAAGAAGAAAAAAAAAGCGTTGACCTTATATACCTCGCTGTTTATCCACCAGACGTTCCTCAGCTGTGTGGGATCGGGTCTCCTTTCTACTCACTCATCCCAGACATGGAGTCACGAGCAGGATGGCGCAGGGCACCCAGAGGGCGGGGCAATCCCACACTAAATTTTCCCACAAATGATTGCACTTGCATTTACTTTTCTCTGGAACACCTCCAGGCCCCGCTTGGGCATTCTAGCCTAGGAACGTTTGTGCTGTCAGACACGTTTGTCCATTTAGCAGCAATTAACGTTTCATGTGTTGTTTCGCAGGGACACAAAGCATAGAGCAGAGTTAGTGCCACCAGAATGTTAGAAAAACAAAGGAGTTTGTTTATATTTTTATCTATTTTTTTGAATTTTTTATGCCTTTAGGATTTTTATTTGTTAGAAAAAAACAACATTCTGATTTACATTTTTTACAAAGTCTGAATATTTGACGCACTTACACTACATCTCCAATTAAAAGTT